GAAATATGGTGTTAATATCAGAATAGCAAGAATGATGTATTTAGCGTATATAAGGTCTCTGATAGACTATCATGCACCAGCTTTGGTCCTGCAGAATGGCAAAAGTATTGATAGACTGGAAAAAATGCAAAATGAAGCACTCAGAATTATACTTGGCTGTCCTATAACTACCAAAGTTCTCAACATACGGAAAGAATTAAATATACTTAGCATTCGAGATAGAATATTGGAAATTAATCTCATGATGGGACTAAAGCTGCTGCGTGATAACAAAAACAACATTGTGTCAGTTGCACTGTTAGAACACATACGAAATGGAACTAGCGAGTCTAAATGGATTCAAAGAACTGCCACTCATATTAAAATGATGGGACTGCACGATGTATATACAGATGAAAGAGTACAGCACTTCCTTCCACCCTGGCAGATAGTACCTTTTTGACATCCTGACCCCTACATACCCCACCAAGAAACTAATCACAAGCAACCCTCATGCTCAGCTTGCTGCTAAATTAAGCACCATAGAACACATTCACAATATACAAGCTGAAAACAACATTGCACAGACCATATACACTGACGGATCACTCAATACAGCTACAGGGAGGGCAGGAAGTGCTGTTATTGCAGCACAATTCAAAGAAATATCCGAATTAGTAACTGGGCGTCCACAATGCAAGCCGAGTTGGTAGCGATACTGGTAGCACTCGAAATTATTGACAACACTGAAGTAGACAGCTTAATTATTTCTGACTCCCTATCCTCACTACGAGCAATAAACAGTTTGCAATCAAGTAATAACGTGCTTGTCTTGGAAGCTAGACGTAGATATGTAAGAATACTTAGCAAGAGGGTAAATATAAAAATGTTGTGGATTCCTTCTCACATTGGCATGCAGGAACATGACAAAGTTGACGCCCTTGCTAAGGCTGCAGTAAATAAAGACAGTATTGAATGGAATCTTGAGTTATCAAATAGGTCCCTTAAAAGTGTCATTAGACGAGAACTCCTAGATGGATTTGAAGAAAGTAGAACAGTGCAAACTGGAACTAGTAGGTCCATTGTTCATCACAATGAAATGTGTGAAGTAAAACATGTGTATGGGGCAAGTAACAAAGTCAGTAGACTAACAGATGTTGTCACAGCTCGTATAAGACTTGGCTACAAGTATCTCTGGCAGTTCGGCTTGTATAGGGATCTAGATGAAGTAAAGTGTAAAGTGTGTGGACATAGGCAGGGACACACACTCGAACACTATATCTTGGATTGTTGTAAAATTGAGCCTTTTAGAGATAAATCTAAGCTCACTCTGTATGATATGGCAACCTATCTTATTACCATGGATAAATTACCTGAAATCCTTGCACTGTACCCACATTTTGCTTCCAGTAGATGAACGACATATGAGATTCAGAAACAAGTAGTGTATTGTGAGGACTAATAATAAACAGAAGCTTCCCTATGACTCTGTAATATCCCCATTGGCCAAACTATTATGTATTAACGACAAGACCTACCATTAATGTATGATGACTTACTGTAAATATGTAGCTCTTGTAATAGCACTTTCTCTGTAACTAGCTGACATTGTATCTATAAGGTGTGAAGGATTGAAGAAATTGTTTATGTAATAATCTAAGATGAGGTCTGATAAAGACCTTTTGTGCCCTCTGTAATGCTTTTGCGCTACCGCTCACAGGATGAGTATGGGGTGCACAATAAACTAGCCGCCTTCGGCGGCAACAATCAAAAATAAATCTGGTATGAACACAAACTCACAGGCTTACTTAATGTATCTGTTCCCCTTGAGCCGTTACTTCTGTAGAAAGCCTAGAACAGGTTACGTCTAGCTAACAGTAGAAATGAGAAAGTAACAGACCTGTAGCAAGCACCCTGCAGAGCTGGGACCGGCGTCGCTGTAGTAAACACACTGGAGACGGACGCGCTCGGGAACGACAGTCTGAAATCCTCCGCGAGCGGATTCGTAAACAATACAGGTCGGGTATGCTCATGAACGGTGGCCCGTATTCCGTGTGAATGGTGGTACTCGTCTCCCCTTCTTCAAAGAACTTGGGGACCGCGGGAATCGGTGCTTGGGGGACAAGACAATAAAATGCAACAAATCCGGGGAAATAATCCGTATAAAACACTGATAACTGGAACTTATGGGAAATAATCCGTATAAAACACTAATAACTGGAACTTATGGAGAATCTTGGGGGATTGCACGAGATGTGGAATAAAACATATGCACAAAAAAACAGGGGTTGAAATATCTTGGGCACCGCTATTGAACAACAAACCGAAGAACATCTATGGTGCAACCAAAACCAGTAATTCGAGACTGGAAACGTTGAACACTCTCTAAGACGTCTTGACTGAAGTCGGCAGAACGATGATGCAGATATCTTGGCGAGGTCCTCATGATCACCGCGTGGGAACGTTTACTCACTGCGCCAGTGTAGAGGTGACCCACGTGTTACAACAATAGTACAGTAATATTTCACCTGGAACTGTCGTCGTAGGGAGAGGTAGGGCTGGTAGGGCAGGTGGAGCAAGTTTAGGCTCCTCAGGAAGGGTAGGACAGAGGGAGTCAATGCCTCTTTGGGGGTCCTATGGGCACATATCCTAAGTGCCAGTGGTGCCGGGCAGGCGTCGTCCGCGCTGGGTCACATGCAGTTCAAATCTGGCCCTCCACACCTGCGCGGGTAGGCTGTGCGCCGTCGCCGTCAACCAATCAGGGCACAGCCCTGCCTATACTGTAAAATGTCTCCTTTGGCGGGCACTTTGAATGTGGTTCCCTCTACAGTATTATGGCTGAAAATGGGAACAAACCCATTATTTGTATCAATGGCAGTAGAAATGATGAAGGACGAGTTAGGAGTGAGGCATTGATACAGAGGTTTAAGACAGCCATAGAATTAGTTAGGAGCAAGGAAGGAATCCTGATCATATGTGGCATTCTTCCAATAAAGGTACTGTAGTTGGAAATGAATAGTTGTCGAGAGCACTTAGTGTCAATTGCCGACTGCGCAAATATTGTAAATCAAATGCAATATCATTCATTTGTAACTGGGAACATTTCTATGGAAGAAAGGACATGTATGCTCGGGATGGGGTGCATTTATCTAAGGCTGGGGTTTGTTGCTGTTGCCAACTCGGAACCTGTGGTTGAAGGGGTTTGTTTGGGTTTAAACTGTTAGTAGATAGTAGTATGGGAATTGGTATGGAGAATGGAGGCAATGAAAGTATGTGTTGGTGGGGGAAGAAAAAATTAGAAAATGAACAGGGAAGGAGAAGGGCCTCAAAATAACAATAACCTTAAGGTATATAACACGAACAGTGGGAGTCTAAGAAACAAAATAAACGATTTAAATGCTCTTGTCTGCACAGAAACAATAGATATTATTGCACTTATTGAAACATGGATGAATGTAGAAAACAGAGAACTATAAGCTGAATATCAAATAAATGGATTTAAACTTTCACACAAATATATTAGATGAGGAGGGGAAGTAGCCATATATGTTAGGGAAAATTTGAAATGTAGTCTAAAAGAGGGAATCAAAACTGAGCCACACACACAAACTATTTGGATAGAATTAAACGAAAAGGTAAAAATATCATAATAGGAATTATATACAGGCTACCAAACTTAGACAAAATGGAAGCAAAGCATCTGTGGGATGAAATATCTAGAGCATATAAGTCAAACAGTATTTGTCGTGAGTGACTTTAATTTTAGTGGAATAAACTGGCTTAACAGAACAAGAAATAATGAAACAGAAGATTTTCTTGAATTAATTGACGATTGCTTCCTTAAGAGTAGTGTCCCCATGGCCTTCCTCCTACCACCGTAACCGGAGATGGGAAATGGCTCTGGCAAGGTCACGTATTGGCCATACACGTTTAACTCACGGGGCACTTAATGGAGTGCTGCCCTGCTCTTTATTGTCCCTCTTACAGTCGTGCATATTCTTGTTGAATGTCCTAACTTCCATGACGTGCGTGTGTTTTGCTTCCCGACCGTCCCTCGCCGGTCCGTCTAATTACCACAAGCTACACAAGCTTCAGAAAGCTTCCTGGCAATACGTTAGTAATGAATAAATATGATATATTTACTCATTATAATGTTGGTGCTGAATGTACAACACGAAAAAACATAATTTTAATCTGAAAAAGTATCTTTTTATAAAGAAATTAGACGAAAATAAAAAGCTGGTGACGCCAAATCAAGTCGACGATCCAAGTGTCGGTTAGGTTAGGTTAGGTTTGGTTTAGTTAAGTTAGGTTAGGATAGGTTAGGTTAGGTCAGCCTAACTTAACATATCATATTTATTCATTACTAACGTATTGCCAGGAAGCTTTCTGAAGCTTGTGTAGCTTGTGGTAGCTTGTGGTAATTAGACGGACCCTCCCTCGCTGTCACTTGTCCCTCGATAGAATTCTTGGTGAATCGGATACCTTTGATATCATTTGCCTTATGTGTTTCTGTTCTCATATTGGCATCCTTAGCGATATTTAGCACCCTATGATTATTCCGCACATTTAATGGTGCTACATAGCCTTCCCGACTTGGTGCCTTCTTTTGATAATTACTGTACTTACTCACACACTTTGGCATTTTATGTCCTCGCCTATTTTACATATGCCACATCTCTTATGGTCATTGGTATATGGTCATCTCTTATCCTCATTGGTATATATCCATCCCACATTCCTAAACTAATTTCCACAGCTTTGTACTCTAGAGCACACTGTCTCTTTTTATAACAAAGTTTTACTTCTGTCAGGGGTGGTAGTAGGATACTAGGTTGGTAACAATTCTTCCTTATATTACTTTATTTAACTGTCACACTTCTTCCACTCAATACTCCCATTTTACCTACCATACCCTCATTTTTGTTTTTCATATGTCTATATACTCTGAAATATGCTGTATAATTTACATATCGCCTACAAATATTAGTCTTTGGAACATTCACAATGAAACTCGCCAATATTTAATTCCTTTTATTTAATATATAACTTATAATAAATTATATGAGAAATGTACAACAAGTACAAAATATATTAAATTTACACTAGTTCATGCAACAAGAACAATAAAAAATATAGATCATATAGCACCTCTTCGGAAATACTAACAGCATATGTGATGAGAGAAGCAATTTGAGGCTAAAATACAGTAGTACATTAGCTCACTTTCTCTTGTGCAAGAGAGGGGTCTGTCCACTTTGACTGGTCAGTCAAGTGAAGGCCTTGTATCATACCCGGTCTGTGCTTGATCCCTGATGGTTCAAAAGGTTGGGCCTCATTCTTTCATCCCATTCAAGTGTCACTAAGTCAGTATGACTATAGTCACACTGGGTTAGTGCTTTCTCCTGATAACTACCTTAACTAGTACAGGAGGGAAGAGCCCAAATTAAAAATTTGGAGAGGATTCAAATTGCTCATCTCATTACCTGTCATTCAAGTCAAAGACATTTCAATATTCATCATCCTTTATACAGACAAGGCGGGAAGAACTGTACATGAATGTTTCCTGGTTATGGTAATACTTGCCGACTTGTGGTTTACTTTATAAAACTATACAATATCTGTAAACTACACTCTGACTTAAATATTACCACAGAAAATTTATTTAGTTATCTACAATGTTACATATCTAATTTCCCATCAATATTTGATGGTAAATTTGATTACATGTATTGAGATTTTCTAAATATTTGAGCCAGGAATCACTAACTTCATTCATATATGGTATGGTATATTGAGACAAAAGTTCCTCACACTTTATACATACATATCAGAACTTATGAGCTAATTCACCTTAAAACTTAGAACTAGAACGCTTAATGTTATAAATGCTTGAACTGCATGTAAAGGCACTTAGGTTAGGTTGTGGATCAAAGATGCAGTAGTTTCTGTTGCAAAAACAGTATTGAGGAAATATGCCTGCAATCTACCCATAGTATATTAGTAGGCCAAAATTTAGTTATATTATGCACCTTAGCAGTGACATTCATAAAACTTTAAACTTCACCCTTTTTATTTAAATAATATATTTACTGGGAGTAGCTAATGAGCATTGCATTGATGGAGGTGAATTTTGAAACATTATCAGAGAAACTGAATACTGTATGGTCATTTCCTCAGGGCATGAGGATAGAATATGCTAGTTTTTATACACTGAGCACACCAAAATCTGTCAGATTTGACAGGCCTAATGGTTTGTTTGCTTGTTTGCTCAGGTTGTTAGAATTTTACAAGGATATTTGAATATTATACATGAAGAACAATTTGAATATATTCAGCTAATATATATTCCTTTCCATTATTCAATATTACAATCTTATATAAATTTAGAGAAAACTTTATCATCTACAAGTACTTGGCAGTTTACTATGCACTTCTCAATATATTCATATAGAAATAATCTTATGTTCTATATGCAATGAAAAATCAATGTTAGTACACTGTACTTGTAGGTAGATTTTTTAATACATATAGAACAGGAAGTAGATCCTACAGAAAAGCAAGGAAAAATTTTTCTTCTTTATGGTAATGGAATCTGTAGAGATCACCTATTGGATAATTCAGTCTTCATTTTCCAACACTATATACATCTAGTTATCTTGAGCCCTGATCCACATGAAATGTATCCGAGTTTCAAAAACACACACAAGGACTAGAAAATGTTTAATGAGGTGACTATTGTCTCTTTGGTTCTAGTGAATCTGTCTTGTACTAGGCTTACGATACAGTTTGCATGGCTTGTACAACAGTGCATATAGCACTGGAATTCTTGAAACCTTGCATTTCTGAAGCATGTCTCAAAAGTGTCCAGATTAGCCCTCATGAACCATATGAGCACTTTCCTAACACTGAAAACGGAACATGCTGCAAGTGTCACATTGACTGGCATGCTAACCTTTCTACACCTTAACCTGAAATGCCAGAGCTTAAGTGTTGGGAAAGTCAATTTGTCCACGAGATCCATTATTCTCATTTCGGTTTCTTTTCAACCTGAGAAAGAGCTCTCCCCAAACTTTGGTAAAAAAAATGAACAAGTTAATACACTTGCTGTGTTTGTTACACTATAATAAGTTTTTAAATCAAAATTTCTGGAACTTACAAGTGTCCTACATGCACACCTCACTTCGTGAATTTGATTGGTTTACACAAAGGAATTTCCACAAATAAAATAAAATTATCTGATTGAATTTACACTTATCCTTTAAAATTTAATCTTGCTTTATTACAAATTATTATGTGCACAAAACTTTGAATATTGTTTGAGATTCTAAGTAACATGCTACCTACATTTTATTACTTTAAATTCACTGTTACTGAAATTTAAGATTTACAACAACTAATTAATTTGTACTTTTACATATTTCCTTCAAAATATTTCTTGTTCATTTTTGTATTTTATTACTAGGTACATTGTCATTTCCTTACCTATGAATCATTGTTAAACCATTTAAAATGCATTAATCATTAACTAACTTGCTCATCATTATACGTTGGTAATCTAGACTTTCATTCCACTTTTAAGGGGATCTTTAATAGAATACATAAAGACAACTAACAACTCTGTTATGCCTGGGCACTTGACATTCACATTTATATATTTCCTATGGTATGTACAGTACACAGCTGAACCATGGAATAAACATTTATATGAATACAGTATAAACATCCTGGATAAAAGATTAAGGTTAACTGGGTTCTAAACAAAACATATATTGGTACTGTTATATATATAAAATTGACTAGTGGTCCAATATATTTTTTATTATTAGTCTTTTACTGCTTCTGCACCAGTCTTTTAATTAACATTTTACAGTCATGATGTAAAATGTTTTGCACGAAGCACACATCACAATGCACTTGTGTGCCGAGTTCCAGCGAGGGATAATTGGGGACAGTGATAGTCCATACGTCACGTTACTTCTAACTGTGGCCCTGAACTACCATCTGCAGGAAAAAAAAAACAATTAAATTTGGCAGGTACAGTGAATTTAACTACTGTTTATAGAAGAATAGGCTTTTAAGCACTTCAGCATTTTCTGGATTGCATACAAAATTTTGTAAACCTATATAATACAATTTCTAAAGAAAGAAAGATACACTTAGATGCAATTACATATCCCTGAAACACTATCTTTTTCACCCACAGCCAGTATTATCACTACTAAAAAAAAATATAATTGATGTAAATGAGGCACTGGATAACTATGGTTCTAGTTGGCCATAACTCTCATATTATCATTATGTTCATTGGAACTGTCTTAGAACTACTTGACCTACCTGAATGTGTTGAGATTCTAGGAGGATCCTGGAGGTTTTGTTTGAGGTGTAGTGTTGCTGTCTGGGAAATAGGTACAAACTGGGGTCGTCTACCAGCTTTGTGTGCCTCACCTCCACTACTACTATCAGCAGTAATTTTTGCAGCTCCGCTAGCTACTTGAAAGGTAACAAGATGGGTTCCTAATGCAATCTGTGCAGCTTCGTCAGGCTGCTGCACTGCTATGGAATTCCCAAGGGACCCAGGGGGATCCATTGAGTGTACTAGGCTAATGCCTGTACTGCACCAAGTGGCTCGACGCAGCCCTCGCTTGCTAATGTGAAGTCTTCCTTCATCTACCCCTGGTGACCCATCCGAGGCATGGCCATGGCGAAGTCGAGGTTGGCGGAGTCGAGGTATACGTTCCTGCAGGGATTCAAGAGAGGTACGAGGTGTGGTGGGTGGGTGGACCTCACAAGACAAATTATCCAGAGAAGAGGAGTCACTTGTCTCACTATTGCCACACCGTTGCTCCTCCTGAAGTGCTGCAAGAGCTGCAAGAAAAGGTTCCAGCTGTTCCTGACTTAAGGGGGCTGCTGGGAGGGGTCCACGTCCCCCCAAACCAGCCTGGAATGTGACGGGTCGTGGACAGGTGGTGGTGCTGGTGTTGGCACTTGTGTTGGAAGAACCACAGGTGGCACGGCCACTGCTACCACTACTGGCAGCTGCACCATGATGATGTTGAACCTCAACGCTCTGTAAAGAGATGAAAAATTTTATGTAGGCATATACTTAAGGTATTCCATCTATCCACCCCTCCACATATCCACCCCTTTACATATCCATCTATCCCTTCTGTCTATCCATATATCTATCCATCCATCTGTGCTCATTCCAAGGGAACCCTTGTTTGCAGAAATGCTTCAAAACACCCCAGATGCTATGGCTGCGTTGAAAGAAGCAACTATGAAAGCAGCTACTTCCCAGGAAGCTTCAAAGTACCTATACAGCTGCTGGAAAGAGAGAGCTGTGGTAGTTCAGGAACTGGAAGGCTCCAACCAGGAGTGGAAAAGGTCCAAGCAATTGTGACAAAGGTCTTGGAGGGTTTACATATGGTGGAAGCTGATAGCAGCATCGAGAAGGATCTCAGGCTAGGTGGTTACAAGAAGGAAAGGAAGCGACTGATAAAGATAGTGCTCACGGATGAGGCAACAAAAGAGGCAATTCTATACAGGAAGAGCTGTCTTCTGGAGGTAAGAGAATACATGGATGTGTTTCTGCAGAGGGACATGACAAGGGGCCCAGTAAAAGCAAAATAGGGACAAAAGGAGAGGGAATGGAATGGGGGAGCCACAACCTTCTCGGAAGTTTTTAAGGTTAGGATTTACATTGCAGTTCAGAGTTTTAAATATATAGAGTACACCTGAGAGGATGTGCAGTGACTTAATATCTAACATATTCAAAGATTTGAGTAAGGGTACCGAGTGCTGTCTGGGGCTAGAGTTAGATATTGTTCTAATAGCAGCTTTGTGTTGAGTAATTAGAGGACATAAATGATTTTGGATAGTAAAACCCCAAGCACAAATACCATAATTGAGAAAAGGATAGATGAGAGAGTAATAAAGCGTCACCAGGGCAGAGCGAGGTACATAATATCTGATCTTAGAAAGAATGCCGACAGTTTTGGCAACTTTTTCTTGCCATATTTAGAATGTGTCCCTGGAAATTCGGCTTCTTATCGAAGAGAACACCAAGGAATTTGCCATCAACTTTGTTACTGATCTGGATATTGCTTATTCTTAGATTAATTTGATTTGAGGATTTATTACCAAATAAAATATAACAAGTTTTGTCAATTTTAAGGGTGAGTTTATTAGCAGTTAGCCAAAGACGGACTTTATTAAGTTTGGCATTCACTTTAACATTTAGGGCAAGAGGGGAAATGAAGGTTGTGTTATCAGCAAATAAGATTGGTTTGAGGTGTTGAGAGGCATTTGGAAGGTCATTAATGTACAGTATATGAGAAAGAGGAGAGGGCCAAGTATGCTGCCCTGTGGAATACCAATGTTGATGGGTAGGGTGGGAGAAATAGAATTAATCACAGAAACATACTGGAGCCTGTCATTAAGGTAAGACTGAAGGAATTGGAGGGAGTGACCTCTGACTCCGTAATGATGCAATTTAAGAAGGTTTTGGTGGTTGACAGTGTCAAAACCCTTACGCAGGTCAACAAATAAACCAACAGGAAACTCATTTTTATCAAGAGCTGCATGTATCGTTAATCATTCAACTTCGAATTTAATCCTTCATTCCCCTCTCTGCCCCCTACATCCCATGCCCTACCTGCTCCCCCATACCAGACCCTCCCATCACCTCCTATCCTAGACCCTAGCATCCACACATCCCAGATCCTCCCAGCCCCCCACCCCCACCTCAGATCCTCTAAGCCCCCCCCCCTTCCTTATCACATCTTCTCTGCCCCCCCTCTCCCCTTTGGGGCCTCGTAGCCTGGTGGATAGCGCGCAGGACTCTTAATTCTGTGGCGCGGGTTCGATTCCCGCACGAGGCAGAAACAAATGGGCAAAGTTTCTTTCACCCTGAATGCCCCTGTTACCTAGCAGTAAATAGGTACCTGGGAGTTAGTCAGCTGTCACGGGCTGCTTCCTGGGGGTGGAGGCCTGGTCGAGGACCGGGCCGCGGGGACACTAAAGCCCCGAAATCATCTCAAGATAACCTCAAGATAAGATAACCCCCCATCCATGACCCTGCCCCCCCCTCCCCTATTCCCGCTATTCCAGGGACAGTAAAGGTAACTGAGACTGGACAGAAGAGTGTCAGCTTCAAAGTAATTTACTTAAACCCAGATGGGATTACAAACAAAGCAAGTGAACTTGGGGAAAGAGCACAATAGAGCCCTAATGATGAGAAAAGAATGAAGTTTTGAAGAAATGCCTACAAGGAGATCAGGGACACTATGATAAGAGGCACCATGATGAAGGGGAGGACCTAGAATAGTAGCAGTAGTCATATATAATCCTCCATCTAATGTTGACCAAACCACACACTATAAATTTAGGAGACGATGTTTCGGTCCATCCTGGACCATTATCAAGTCGATTGTGATGAGTCGAGGAAGGCAATAGTATTAAGTAAAGCAAGAGAGGTAAGGAGACAGAAATCTTAAGAGGAAGATAAGAAGAAGGCAAAGAGTATGGAAGGTAAGGTGTAATATAGCAACCCGTTCTCGCACTTGCTTACGGTCAATATTGACTTATTTAATAAGTGCATATGTGACATACTAATTGATTGTGAATATTTTAGTTTACCTTGAAAAGCTTCATAGAAAACACCGACCTCACCTAGCCTTCTTAATATGTTAAGATAAGCATCTTATTGCTTCTTAATTACAATTATTACTTAACCTATACAAAAGGGCGGTGTGTTGTCTGAAGACAGAGTTTGTTATAGTTCTGATAGCAGATTTTTGCTGGGTGATGATGGACTTGGGGTTGAACCCTCATCCTTGCACCCGCAACCTTGCAGTGGTTGAACCACATGCACATATACTGTATGTAAGATAGTAATAGATTAGTGTGTAGTATAAAGAGAGGAGAGCAGAGTGGGGAACACATCATCTTATTTTAGAGAGTATACCGACCGTTTTTTTATACTTTTGTCTGTGTTGTATGTGGATGTTGAAGCTTAGTTTCCTGTCTATGTATAGGCCAAGACCAAAAGACCTTCATCAGTTTTATTGTTAATGTTAACATTACCTATCTGAAGTTGGATTTGGTTGGATGATTTACTTCCAAATAAAATGTAGTAGGTCTTTGCCATATTTAATGTGAGTTTGCTGGTTGATATCCACGAGTGGACTGTTTTTAATTCATTATTTACAGTATTATTTCGTGTATGGGGGTTGGGGTCTGAATAGATTAAGGAAGTATCGTCAGGAAATTGCATAGGTGTTATATATAAGTTAAAATATCTTTAACAGATCAGTGACTATTGGCCTCTTTTTGCTATATATATATTACAAAGAGAGTATAGACACGCAAGACAAAACGAGAGAAAATATGAAAATGGAGGGAAGGAGAGAAAGATGGACATAGAGAGAAGCTGGTGCGTGAGGCGGCGTGAGAGAGGCATAATGAGGGGGGCCAAGGTGTATTCTTAGATCAAACACCAGCGCATCCCCGCCCCTCCCCGCACCACACCCCCGCCCCTCCCCGCACCACACCCCCGCCCCTCCCCGCACCTCACCCCCGCCCCTCCCCGCACCTCACCCCCGCCCCTCCCTTCCCGTAACACCACCTCATACCCTTCTTTAATTCTCAAAAACGGCTTCGTACATTTTGTTGTTTACAAGTATTTGCATAAAAAGAGACAGTATCGTCATATTTCTTTGAAATGCTGAGAAATTTCTCTGTGAAAGCTTTCAGATGCCAAAAGCAAAGACAGTAGGGAGGTTGGGGTGTGGTGGAGGGGGCAGGCGGCAGGTTCAACAGTGAATGAATGGCTTCACAAGGACACGCACAAGCCGGTAAGCATGCACGCGCGCACAACGTTCGTGCCACGAGCCTTGAGTCATGATAAATGAAGTCAATAATGCATGAACAGGCAACGGTAAAATAAGAAAAAAAACAGAAGAGAAACGGTTCTTCCCTGCGATACAAATCAAGAACTCCTTGAGTGTGTTTGCTTGAGAGTGAAACACTATAATCTAGCTCAGTATGAATGACATTAACAAGGAATATTAACCTTGAAATTCACCACAACCAAACCGTCTGTGCGTTTAAGATGGAATAAAATTGCGATTCATCATAAAACAAATTATATATATGTTCTTCGTTAAACCCAAACAGGGTGTGAATAGCTATAAAAATTAACACTTATGACAAGTTCAAAAATAGCGTGTTTTTATGGGGGTGGTGTGTTATATATAGCCAGGGAGACGCGCCTGGAATGTCGACACTCGGGTAAATAACCAAAATAGATGCGATACTGTGTTTGGTGACGGCACTTTATGCATCTGGTTAAAGACAACCTTTGGTATGTTCCCTTGGACGAGTTCTGCTGATTTTAATGAAACGCAATGACTTTGTCCGTAAAAGTTATGGAATGAACCTAGTTTCATTCCTTAATGAATGGATTTTTTTTTTATTAAGATATGAGGTACATCTGCATTAGTGCAGCTACCCTAGACTATATGAAGTGGAGTACACTGTCAAAAAAGCTAACTAGGTGATGCTAAAAAATCCCCATGACACAGGATGGTTAGTCATACAGAGGCATGTGATGGGCAGTCTGCACTGGCAGACCTAGTTTTCGGTGTTTTAGGGAGCTACAATTGGCGATTTATAACCAAATATCTATCGGTTAAAAAAAAAAAGTATTGAAAAGTTTAGTTGAGCTCACATACGCAAACACAATGTTTTAATACAAGTGACCTAGCATGAGAGACCAAGTGTTTATTTAGCCTCTACTCTCACATTATATTCAGAGTTTGAGTTAAAAATTTGACAAGCATTAAGGGCAATGGCAGACGTGACGGTAGAGGCATCTCGTAGCACCCTCCACTTGCTGCATTATCACCCCACATTAGAAACTCAGTTTCCACACTGACCAAAAGAATACAAGAACATCTTAATTCACGCAAAAGTTTTGTGGAAATTTTTGTGATCTTGACAAGGAGTAAAGGAGAGCCAAAAACATAGTGAGTGAAAGATGGCCCTCAACTAAAATGGAGATGCCTGACCATGCCAGCTTCCAGGCACTCTCCAACTGCTTTCTTATCCTTCTTTCATCCCGCTTATGACGCTCTAATATAGAGACGCGTAAGCAGCTACGTGCATGTGGCAGTGAAGAAGGAGCAGCAGCAATGTACGGACGCGACTGTTGGTAAACACGTCGTGTGAAGACAAATGTTGCGGAAATACACACATGTCAAGCGTAATATTATGCTAACATTTCTTCAATATACCAGATTCTAAACCGCAAATACACGCCTAAAGGCCTAAACGTTCGAAATTAGTTGTTCTAGATGTGATATGCACCAGCTGACGAATAGGAAAAGACTTTATAATGGAGAGTTCTGAGTTTGTGTCCGAGCATGTTGTGTTAGATTCAGCTACTGAGAGGACACATTTGCCAGCAGCACAGGCTATGGCGAGCCCGTCGTACTCGCCTGGCACAGGAGATGTGCCTGTCCCACCAGATTGAGTTACCGTATTTATATTATATATATATAATATATATGCGAATAAGCTTGAATGGTCCTCAAGCCAATATGCAATTGAAAACTCCACACCCCTGAAGGATTCGAACCCAGACAGCCAGGAGCACTATCCAACTGGCGTACCCGGTAATTTAACCACTCGACCAACCGTGACCATACAAAAGACATTGGTAGCCGAGACTATATCCCCAACGTCCCGACGGCACTTGGTGGTAAGCTAGGCATAGTTACTTCATCGAATCACCTCACTTTGTGGGGCCACGTGAGCAACACAAATACGAACAAGCTTGAATGGTCCCCAAGCCAATATGCAGCTGAAAACTCCACACCCCAGAATATATGTTGGGGATATAGCTGCGGATACGTTGTGATATGTTGCAACAGTGCACAAACAACAGGGCGCCATCAAGCAGCATATAATCTCCTCACACAACCAGACCAACACCAGAGAAATCTTAACAAGCAACACAGAAATTATCGATAGATACAGCGACAGCAGGAGACTCGACATCAGCGAGGCACTACACATCAAAAAGTGAAGACCAACAATCAACAGCCAATTAACACAATTACATTCTACCTACTTCAAGACCCAGAACCAACACAGAAGCAAGAAGAGAAAATATGCAATGTACCTATTGATTCGTGTTTTATGTAAAATTATCTTTACCCATTGATTTGAGTTCTGTCACCTCACCCAAATGCATTTGTGTTATATCACCTCACCCAAAAACGAATATAAGTATGAAACGGAGTTTGTAAAAATTTGTCTTTGAAAATGTAAGAAGTCTCTTGCAAAACACTTCTAGGCGTCAGACCATAAATGAGAAAATGAACTTTGGAGAGTTAATTTTTCAATTACCCTCGACAGTGAAGAGAAACATAAGAAATCTATATAGAAGATTCGTGCTAGAATCATTAATCTTACCCCTTCGGTCATATTCAACAACATATGTGGCCTCTGTAACCTTTAAATTTCGCAAGACGGATATGGGAAGCAAATTATATGAGTCAAATTAAAGTAATGGTGTAGTCCTCTAGGTGACTATAAGCAGACTCTTCTGAACACTGAGGTATATGGTTAGTGCGTGATTAGTATGGAGTATCTGTAAACACTATCTACTACTATCTTCAATATCTATCTATTATGGTTTGTAGCAATCTAAAACACGCACAAAATCTAAATTTACTGCACTTGAAGATAAGGTATTGTAAATCAGCAATTTCTGAATAATAAAATAGCTAAAGTTGAGAGTACCAGTGACAACCCTACACAGTGCCACAGTCACACATCCAGTGTCTGTAATTTCTACATCGGTGTCAAAATTTAAATTGATAAGGTATAACCTGATTTTAAGCAGCAGTTACAATCTAAATATTAAGAAGCAGCTAATAGTATGTGTGTGTGTGTGTGTGTGTGTGTGTGTATATATATATATATATATATATATATATATATATATATATATATATATATATATATATATATATATATAAATGTGTAGGGTAAGTAGATGTGTGTGTGTAGGATAAGTAGATATGTGTAGGGTAAGTAGATATGTGTAGGGGTAAGTAGATATGTGTAGGGTAAGTAGATATGTGAAGGGTAAGTAGATATGTGTAGGGTAAGTAGATATGTGTAGGGTAAGTAGATATGTGAAGGGTAAGTAGATATGTGAAGGGTAAGTAGATATGTGAAGGGTAAGTAGATATGTGAAGGGTAAGTAGATATGTGTAGGGTAAGTAGATATGTGAAGGGTAAGTAGATATGTGAAGGGTAAGTAGATATGTGTAGGGTAAGTAGATATGTGTAGGGTAAGTAGATATGCGAAGGGTAAGTAGATATGTAAAGCTTGTGAGGCCATACTAACGAGGGTGAGGGTTAAGGGAGAGGCCCTGATAATATATAAATCTACTTACCACAAACTGGTGTTCCGCCTCTTCACTGCTGGATCCCGGAGGTTGAGGGTGGGCGGCGTGGGCGTGAGGCGGCTGCGTGTGGGCGTGACCACATCGTGGGTTGTGGGTAGGGGCTGGTGGGTACATGAGGCAGGCGTCGTGGAGAAGCGACGAGTCATGATGACAAATACCCACACACCCCAATCCGCATCCACTACCCGCACCACCTGAGCCATATCCACACATTGGTACCACCCCATATCCTCCAACTGGATTACCATACCCGCTCACCGAACCACAATACCCGCCTGTGGTGCCGAGGTACCCACCGCGGGGGCTGGTATGTCCACCTCGCGACACTGAGTACCCACCACTGGGGCTCATGTACCCGCTCGTGGGGGTATTGTATTCACCTGCAGGACTAGTATACCCAACAGTGGGACTGGTGTACCCACTCACCATACCCGTATACCCAGGGTCGGGGCTGGCATACCCGATATTAGGACTAGTATACCCCGGTGGAGGGCTGATATACCCCGGGGGAAGCGGACTGTAGCCGAGGCCGGCATACCCGGGTATAGCCCCTCCCAGGCCAGCATGAACAGCGCACCCCGGGTGCCCGCAGGCGTGGGCGGGGTTGGAGGGGGCCAGCACGTACTGGGCGTGGGCTGGCATGCTGTAGAGGTGGGCGCCGTGGGTCAACGATGAGCCCGAGGCACAGGTAGCCGGCGGACTCTCGTAGCAGCCCTCTGGACACGCGCCGCGGAAAAATAATATTATGTATTATTTTCAGGAAACGAAAGCTTTCCATATTTATAATTATCACAATGTAAGGTTGATGTTGGTCTTGGCTATATGATGCTAGTGTAGTTTGTGATATCTAACCTCTACGACATTACTGTTATCTTATACATATACTGTATAATATCATGGACTATAACAAAAATTCCATCAAGTAGCAATGCTAACATATTGAGGTACGCTAGATGCTTGATAAACATTAGCAAGAGTGGTGTATAACCACCAATTATGGCGATTGATATAATACTTTACTACGCAAGATGAAACAATTTAACTAATTGGTCAACCATGTTCAATGTAGGTAATTACCAGGAGAAAGCACTAAGACTATAGCACATGGAAGGGACAGGCCGGAGGGAAGGAATGGTGCCCAACCAGTTGAACAGTCGGGGATTGAAAGCGGGAAAGTCCAAGAAGCGTGACCGTCGCTCTACCGACCAGACCAAGTGGTTGGGCAACCGTGCTCAAGTATGACTTAAAATGAGCTACAATGATCAGCAAGTTCCAAAATAATGAAACATGATTTATGAGAGCGCGACGGGGGTTTAGCCGCCCACACTGACCACAGTAATAATGACTACTGACCTATAATGTTGTAGTTACAGAGGGGGCAGGTGCGGTGCTGGAGCAGCCAGGGGTCGACGCAGGCGCGGTGGAACTCATGTTTACAGGGCAGGACGCGTAGCTCCTGGTGGGGGCGGTACTCCTCCAGACACACCACACACACCTGCCACACACACACACACTACTCAGTCACAACTGGTAAACACACATGGCACTTGCAAAACAAGAATATCTGATTTGTTTATGAACAAGAGTTCATTAGGCTACTGACATCAATTTCTCATGTAAATTCATTATAAATCCTCCATTTCTGATATTACAGGAACTTGAAGAATAATTAACTCTTCATTTCGTAAGCAAGTGGTCTGAAAATGAGCTAAAACTTGCCAAATTTCTCTAAAATGAAAAATAAATTATACATTAACATTAATTTCCATTTATTTTATGCATACATTTGCTTCAAATTATTATACATGCTACCTAAATACATGCACAGTCCAAAACTTTAACATAATACAAGCCTAAAAAGTATACATAAAGAACTTGATCATGTTTTCTATGTACATGATAACTCACATTTATGAGAATTAAAAATGTATCAGATTTTAATAAAGTTGAAAAAAGATTGGCTTTGAGAGTTTTGGAATAAGTTGCTAATCATCGAAATAAAATCTGAGATTCCTAATAACTACCGGGGGGACCTAATAACTACCGGGGGGACCTAATAACTACCGGGGAGACCTAATAACTACCGGGGAGACCTAATAACTACCGGGGAGACCTAATAACTACCGGGGAGACCTAATAACTACCGGGGAGACCTAATAACTACCGGGGAGACCTAATAACTACCGGGGGGACCTAATAACTACCGGGGGGACCTAATAACTACCGGGGAGACCTAATAACTACCGGGGAGACCTAATAACTACCGGGGAGACCTAATAACTACCGGGGAGACCTAATAACTACCGGGGAGACCTAATAACTACCGGGGAGACCTAATAACTACCAGGGAGACCTAATAACTACCAGGGGGACCTAATAACTACGAGGGGGACCTAATAACTACCGGGGGACCTAATAACTACCGGGGGACCTAATAACTACAGGGGGGACCTAATAACTACCGGGGGGACCTAATAACTACCGGGGGGACCTAATAACTACCGGGGAGACCTAATAACTACCGGGGGGACCTAATAACTACCGGGGGGACCTAATAACTACCGGGGAGACCTAATAACTACTGGGGAGACCTAATAACTACTGGGGAGACCTAATAACTACCGGGGAGACCTAATAACTACCCGGGAGACCTAATAACTACCGGGGGGACCTAATAACTACCAGGGGGACCTAATAACTACCGGGGAGACCTAATAACTACCGGGGAGACCTAATAACTACCGGGGAGACCTAATAACTACCCGGGAGACCTAATAACTACCGGGGGGACCTAATAACTACCAGGGGGACCTAATAACTACCGGGGAGACCTAATAACTACCGGGGAGACCTAATAACTACCGGGGAGACCTAATAACTACCGGGGAGACCTAATAACTACCGGGGAGACCTAATAACTACCGGGGAGACCTAATAACTACCGGGGAGACCTAATAACTACCGGGGAGACCTAATAACTACCGGGGAGACCTAATAACTACCAGGGAGACCTAATAACTACCAGGGAGACCTAATAACTACCAGGGAGACCTAATAACTACCGGGGGACCTAATAACTACCAGGGAGACCTAATAACTACCAGGGAGACCTAATAACTACCGGGGAGACCTAATAACTACCAGGGGACCTAATAACTACCGAGGGACCTAATAACTACCAGGGGGGACCTAATAACTACCAGGGAGACCTAATAACTACCAGGGAGACCTAATAACTACCAGGGAGACCTAATAACTACCGGGGGACCTAATAACTACCGGGGGACCTAATAACTACCGGGGGACCTAATAACTACCAGAGAGACCTAATAACTACCGGGGGGACATAATAACTACCGGGGGGACATAATAACTACCGGGGGGACATAATAACTACCGGGGGGACCTAATAACTACCGGGGGGACCTAATAACTACCGGGAGGACCTAATAACTACCGGGGGGACCTAATAACTACTGGGAGGACCTAATAAGTACCGGGAGGACCTAATAACTACCGGGGGGACCTAATAACTACCGGGGGACCTAATAACTACCGGGGGGACCTAATAACTATCGGGGAAACCTAATAACTACCGGGGGGACCTAATAACTACCGGGGGACCTAATAACTACCGGGGGGACCTAATAACTACCGGGGGGACTTAATAACTACCGGGGGGACCTAACTACCGGGAGGACCTAATAACTACCGGGGGGACCTAATAACTACCGGGGGACCTAATAACTACCGGGGGGACCTAATAACTACCAGGGGGACCTAATAACTACCGGGGGGACCTAATAACTACCAGGGGGACCTAATAACTACCAAGGGGACCTAATAACTACCGGGGGGACCTAATAACTACCGGGGGGACCTAATAACTACCAGGGGGGACCTAATAACTACCGGGGGGACCTAATAACTACCGGGGGACCTAATAACTACCGGGGGACCTAATAACTACCGGGGGACCTAATAACTACCAGGGGGACCTAATAACTACCAGGAGGACCTAATAACTACCGGGAGGACCTAATAACTACCGGGGGACCTAATAACTACCAGGGGGACCTAATAACTACCAGGAGGACCTAATAACTACCGGGAGGACCTAATAACTACCGGGGGGACCTAATAACTACCAGGAGGACCTAATAACTACCGGGGGACCTAATAACTACCGGGGGACCTAATAACTACCAGGGGGACCTAATAACTACCAGGAGGACCTAATAACTACCGGGAGGACCTAATAACTACCGGGGGACCTAATAACTACCAGGGGGACCTAATAACTACCAGGAGGACCTAATAACTACCGGGAGGACCTAATAACTACCGGGGGGACCTAATAACTACCAGGAGGACCTAATAACTACCGGGGAGATCTAATAACTACCGGGAGGACCTATATAACTACCGGGGGGACCTAATAACTACCGGGGGACCTAATAACTACCGGGGGGACCTAATAACTACCGGGGAATCATAATAACTACCGGGAGGACCTAATAACTACCGGGGAAACCTAATAACTACCGGGGGACCTAATAACTACCGGGGGGACCTAATAACTACCAGGGAGACCTAATAACTACCGGGAGGACCTAATAACTACCGGGAGGACCTAATAACTACCGGGAGGACCTAATAACTACCGGGAGGACCTAATAACTACCGGGGAGACCTAATAACTACCGGGAGGACCTAATAACTACCGGGGGGATCTAATAACTACCAAGGGGACCTAATAACTACCAGGGGGACCTAATAACTACCTGGGAGACCTAATAACTACCGGGGGACCTAATAACTACCGGGGAGACCTAATAACTCCCAGGGGGACCTAATAACTACCGGGGGACCTAATAACTACCGGGGGGACCTAATAACTCCTGGGGGGACCTAATAACTCCTGGGAGGACCTAATAACTACCGGGGGACCTAATAACTACCGGGGGGACCTAATAACTACCGGGGGACCTAATAACTACCGGGGGACCTAATAACTACCGGGGGGACCTAATAACTACCGGGGAGATCTAATAACTACCGGGGGACCTAATAACTACCGGGGGGACCTAATAACTACCAGGGGGACCTAATAACTACCGGGAGGACCTAATAACTACCAGGGAGACCTAATAACTACCGGGGAGACCTAATAACTACCGGGAGGACCTAATAACTACCAGGGAGACCTAATAACTACCGGGAGACCTAATAACTACCGGGGAGACCTAATAATTACCGGGAGGACCTAATAACTACCAGGGAGACCTAATAACTACCAGGGAGACCTAATAACTACCAGGGAGACCTAATAACTACCAGGGAGACCTAATAACTACCGGGGGGACCTAATAACAGCAACACCCACATTGGACAACTCACCTCAGGACCTTCAGAGAGGACTGATATCTCGTGGCTACCCTCTTCGTCCTCTTCGTCTTGGTCTTCTCCAGCTTTACAACCTTCGCCACCACTACCTCCCCCATCTTCTCCACCACCTCCACCACAACCTCCGCCTCCACCTTCACCCGTAGTAAGTTTCACCTTCTTCTTGAGTTTGACTTTAACGATGTGTTTGTCATCCTTCTTCTTGTCCTTGTATCTCCTGCACTCCATGCGGGAGAGCGCGCGCTTGGCTTGCTGGGCCAGGGTGTTCTGTCGACATATCAAACACTTTACTAAACAATAACACACTTTACTAAACGATAACACACTTTACTAAACGATAACACACTTTACTAAACGATAACACACTTTACTAAACGATAACACACTTTACTAAACAATAACACACTTTACTAAACGATAACACACTTTACTAAACGATAACACACTTTACTAAACAATAACACACTTTACTAAACAATAACACACTTTACTAAACAATAACACACTTTACTAAACAATAACACACTTTACTAAACAATAACACACTTTACTAAACGATAACACACTTTACTAAACGATAACACACTTTACTAAACAATAACACACTTTACTAAACGATAACACACTTTACTAAACGATAACACACTTTACTAAACGATAACACACTTTACTAAACGATAACACACTTTACTAAACGATAACACACTTTACTAAACGATAACACACTTTACTAAACGATAACACACTTTACTAAACGATAACACACTTTACTAAACGATAACACACTTTACTAAACGATAACACACTTTACTAAACGATAATACTCTTAACTAGCAAGAGTTCACTTACAAGTATACTTTATATCCAACGACTTCAGTATTATAGTATATTCTGTGCCTACACTGAAAGTGACTGTCGAATACTCCACTTGCTACGGAATCACTTGTGATATATAAAGATTATTGATATATGTATTTGTGTATATGATTGTATATGTATATGTACATGTATATATAACATTAACAATTGTCTTCAAAAGATTGTCACTTGCTTAGCTAAACGAACTCTGGGGTTCAGTTCCTGAACCCATTACTTAAGTACCTCTGTAAAGTACCTCTGTAACCCTTTCCACCACCGCCCACGGGATGAGTATGGGGTGCATAATAAAGAAAGAAATAGAATACGGGAAGCATCCAACGGTAACGACATGATATTAGAGCCCCGCATATGTGCGCGCGCGCACACACTACCCAACCTCTCCTCCTACAAAGAACGTCGCATTTCGCTCGCATGTGTTACATAAGACCAAAAACTGTCGAACTAGAAAATAGAAGCGGCTCGCAAAGGTGACGTACTGTCTCGTTTTCTGTTTTGGGTCCTCTGGTAGGTTAGGAGAGGGCACTTTACATTGATCGTTTTCTTGACGTTGGGAAACATTAGGAGGACGGACTGGACTACCCGGCGGTGGCCGGGTCTCCCCCCCCCCCCTCACACGCCATTCTACCCCCCCCCTCTCTTTTCCTCTCTCCCTACATACCCTGCTTACTCGCCTCCCTCCCTCCCCCCTCCCCCGCTGTCTCCCCCATCTTATCACCCTCCTCCAACATCATACACAAATTGATTGATTGATAAAGATTAAGCCACTCAAAAGGTGGCACGGGCATGAATAGCCCGTAAGTGGTGGCCCTTTTGAGCCATTACCAGTATCAATAGATGATACTGGAGATCTGTGGAGGTGCGACTGGACCCTGCGTGACGGGAGATGTGTCCCGGGAATGTGTCCATCATACACACAGACATTTCAGTTTATATATATGGAAAACGTATCCGGATGAATCCGGATCTTTTCCCTCTTTCACTCCTCTTCCCAACTCTTTCCCCCCATTTCCCCTTGACCGCCTCGTTCCCATCCCCTCGTCCTCCCCTCCTCCCTCCCCCCTCTCCCCATCTCCGAAAATGTATCATCAGGAAGCACTGAAACAACGGGTCTCGGAAAATATATTTTGATCACTAAAAATTCTACTGGAATCTCATCATATATTTCACGCTTGATTTTATGAAAATCACAAACTGTCAATCTCTTAATATCTCTTGAAGTTTTTATCTTAGGTCTACCCCGACCAGCCTATGTCCATCCTGCACCCCACACCAGTCCCCCAGCAAACATGGGTGAGACTAGTCCCAAGCGTCTGGCCTCCAAGTTTAGACAGACATTATCTCCTATAGATAGATATATACGGTACTGGCAGAGGTTTCTACGAACGGTAGAAAGGCAAGCTATTAATCCCAATATGAAGTGTAGTGTTATTATATAGATGAGAGCACAAGGTGGGGATGTATCAACCATGCAGGGACGCTACACACGCTGCTCTTGTCACTAGACAACACTCACCTGGTTGGTCAAAACATTGTACATCTAGTTCTCCTCACTTATGGGAGCTCATGATCTAGATGCTGGAGGTGCAGGAGCAGCTTCCCTGCATGTGTATGGTACTGGCTCTCACACATGTAAGGAACACAAGCAAGTATGACAACTTCGACAATGTACAGGCAAAATAAACCGAGACATTGATAAACCGAAAGATAAAAGACTGAAGATAAACCGAAAGTCATGGACAGTGATATCTCGATACCAGGATATGGTCTATACAGGTGTGATAGGGTAAATAGGTCACATGGAGCCGTAGGTCTGTATATTAGAGAAGACCTTGTAGGCTCGCAGCTCCGAAACTCTACAAATAAGGTGGTGGAAATATTGGGAGTAAATAAAAATTAAAGTGAACTTAGTAATTATTCTGATATACAAATCACCAGATGCAATAGCGAGGAATTCACAGAACAGATAAACAAAATATAGAGAATAGCCTCGATAATCTGGCACTACCAGGTATTATCTTCCTAGGAGACGTCAACCTGACTAGTTTAAGACGGAGAATAACAAACCAGAATATTATACCAATAAATCTATCTGGACATAACCAGCCACAGGTCAGAGAACTACTTAGATTTAGTGACAAATTTTCGCTCAAGCAGCAGATAAGAGAGCCAAGTAGGGCTGAAAATGTTCTAGATCTGATCTTCACAAATACCGAAGAAATAATGATGGACATTATAACCTCAGACACAACATACTCACACCACGCGCTCACTGAAGTGCCAACTGCCATCAATACTCGTAATAGGCCTACAAAAATAATCAAGCAAGATTGGTTATTCAATAAATTTAATTTTAATAACAAAAGAAAGACTGGGAAAAATAAACATGGAACTTACAAATATTCAAGGGGGAACTGTTTTAAGTAATATAAATCGCAGGTAAGGAGTACAACAACTGACCCGAAGCAAATAAAGTCTGTCAGAAACATGTTCCTTTGTACAAAGCCAGAAAGAGTATCAGCTTAGAGAATGTAGACGGCACTACACAAGAAGGAAAAAATAACTGAAATACGTAAGCAAACACGACTATACCTACACAGAAAGAATAACTGAAACAGACTGAAGAATAAGAACAGAGATCGAAGCAATTCTATCAGATTTGGGAAATGAGATCAGAACAGAAAGCCATGCAGGTGATAAAGACAAATCCTAAATATATTTTCACATAAGTGAAATCAATAACAAAAAACTCCATCAGCAATGGATCTATGCTTAGGAGTGAAGGTTCACACAATGATGCCGAAGAAATTAGCGAAATCCAAAAAAAAAGCAGTACGAGGACATGTTTAGCACTCCTATAAGCAGCATGGCAGTGGAAGATCCAGACAGCTTCTTTATGTGTGATATGCAAACCCATGAAAATGTGACGGATATCAACACTAATTCTGCAGATTTAAAAAAAAAATCGCTTAAATCAGATGTCAGAAGCGCTTAAATCAGCAGATATAGCTCTCTTACACAAGGGAGGGAGCAAAGCATTGTTAAGAATTAAAGACCAGTCGCACTAACGTCCCATATAATGACAGTTTTTGACAGTGATCAGGAGTCAGGTCACCAGTTTCATGGAGACCAATGACCTCCACAACCCAGGCCAACATGGAGACCAATGACCTCCACAACCCAGGCCAACATGGATTTAGAGCGGGGAGATCATGCCTTTCATAGCTACTTGACAACTATGACAAAATCAGTGATACAACAGAAGAAAAACATAATTGCAGGTGTTATACACGGACATTACAAAGGCGGGGATACATGTGACCATGGAGTGAAAGCCCACAAACTGAAGTCAACACGAATAACAGGTAAAGAAGGGACGAGAGAGATATCAAATAATATACACGTGGAAAATACTGGAGGGTCAGGTCCCAAATCTACACAGTAAAATAACAACGTACTGGAGTGAACGATATGGAAGAAAATGCAAGATTGAACCAGTGAAGAGCAGAGGTGCTATAGGCACAATCAGAGAACACTGTATAAACATCAGAGGTCCGCGGTTGTTGAACGTCCTCCCAGCGAGCATAAGAAATATTGCCGGAACAACCGTCGACATCTTCAAGAGGAAACTGGACTGTTTTCTAAGAGAAATTCCGGATCAGCCGGGCTGTGGTGGGTATGTGGGCCTGCGGGCCGCTCCAAGCAACAACCTGGTGGACCAAACTCTCACAAGTCGAGCCTGGCCTCAGGCAGGGCTTGGGGAGTAGAAGAACTCCCAGAATCCCATCAACCAGGTAATCAAGCAAGCAAGGGCGATGTATATTCCATTTTGTCGTACAACAGAACACAAAGAGTAACAGTCAATCAAATAAAATCGAGTCCAAGCGCAGTTAAAAGCTCTGTACCTCAAGGTACAGTTCTTGCACCACTGCTTTTCCTTATTCTCATATCAGATATAGAAAAAAATAAAAGTCACAGCTTTGTGTCATCTTTTGCAGATGACACAAAAATCAGCATGAAAATTATTTCTGTAGTAGACATTGAAAAACTACAAGCAGATATTAATCAAGTTTTCGACTGGGCAGCAGAAAATAACATGATGTTTAACAGTAATAAATTTCAGGTACTCAGGTATGGTAAAAATTAAGACCTTAAGCGAACTCTTCGCCTTTCCAGTCAATGCAATTTAAGCTTTGTTAATCTCTCTTCATATGGCAGGTTTCTAATTTGAGGAATTAACTTTGTCATCCTACACTGGACACGTTCAAGTGAATTTATATCCATTCTATAGTACGGCGACCAAAATTGAACTGCATGATTTAAATGGGGCCTAACCAGAGCAAGATATAGCTGAAGAACCACACCAGGTGTCTTGTTACGAACGCTTCGAT